ATAAAATGAGTTATGCCTGTATGTAGATTTAGTTGATGGAACTACCAGTCTAAAATAATCCATTGAATAAGAACTTCACATCAATACCGGAATGAAGTAGGATGAAGGATTCATTTCTTTAATTAAATTCTGTATTAAGTACCAGATCCAGAGTTGTTCTTTTGTCCTACGTTAAATAGAGTTTTCATTCGTTGGGAATTCTAAATGAAGACAAATATATTTCTCATTTAAATCTGGATGTATTTCATTATAAATCTTTTAGATCACATTTCACATGTTCTTTTCTTGATTTTATTAGTATATTGTTGCTGTGCAAGATAGCCACCAAATGATGGGTGGAAACATGCTAAAAAGCCATTTCACCAGTTAAAATGGCTGTTAAAATTTTTTTCCTCTTATTTCTAGTTAGTGTAAAAATAGTACATACGGTATAACCCTTTACAGAGAATAAAGGGAAGACCTCAGTAGGCTGATGACAGTACAAAAGAAGACTAAAAAGTTGATGTATCTTTCTGATACATTTCCCCGATAAACCAAATAAGGAACAGGTCCAGAAGCTAAGCATAGTTTCCTGTTTAATGAATTAGAATGGAAGGCAATAAAATACTCAGCTTTGTACTTAGTATCACAAGTTTATTCACCAACATTTCTTAGGCACTCTCATAGTCCTATCAGAATACAAATGTGCTTTTCTAAATAACAGCTCTCTAGACATTACTATAGCTAGTACTCTCACTTGCCCTGAAAACCAAACCTCATAAACGACCTGTTGTTTGTCTTGTCTCCGTACTTTCAATTCTCTACCTATTCCAATAGGGCTGCTGTCCCCAATGTACCTCAGATACTTTTAAGGCCACCAGTGTTCTCCATATTGACAGATCAAATAGTAACCTCTCCATCGTCTTACGTCTCTGTTAACACGGTTGACTACTTAATGCTCCTTGAAAAACACTCTGTGTCTCTTGATTAACACCTTAGTTTTCTTTCTGCATCACTAGCTGGTCCTTTTCAGTCTCCTTTGCTTGTTTATAAATAGCTTGATTTCCACCTGTTAAAGTCTGCTCTAGAACTGGAATCTAGGCTGTCTTATCTAACCTCTCTGGGTGATACTATGTTTAAAAATTATTTGCCAGGGCTCCTGGGTGGTGCAGTGGGTTAAGCTTCTGACTTCTTGGTTTCAGCTGAGGGTTATGAGATTGAGCCCCATTCGGGCTCTGTGCTCAGGTCAGAGTCTGCTTGAGACTTTCTCTCCGTTTCCCTCTTCTTTTACCCTCCCCCCCAAAATAAATAAATAAATAAATCTTTAAAAAATGTATTTGCATGCCACTTGTTTGTCTTGATATGTCTAGTCCTTGTTGAATTCCAGCTTCTAACTGTCAATGTGATCTCTTAGTTTGAATGCCTTACAACGTTAATCATTCATTCTAATAGTAATAAAAATACATAATATATATCTGAGTGCCACCAGACTCAATCAGCTGTTCAAGCCAAAAGCCCAGGAATCAGCTTGAGATAGCTCCCCTTCCCTTTATGTCCATCTCTTCATTCAGCACATCCTGTCCACACTGCTCCAGAATATATCCTTTGTTCAGTCTCCCTCCTTTGACTGCTGTCAACAGTCCAAACAAGAATCCTCTCTTGGACAGCAGCTTGTCTTCATAACTTACTCACCCATTCTCCATACTGCAGTCTAAGTGATCTTTTAAAAATGTAAATTATATTCCCCAACTGAAAACTATCCAAGGAATTGTAAGGCCTTGTGAGATCTACCCCTGTCTTTATCTCCAAACTTCCATTCAGCTACTCTCCTTTATGGAAAGCCTCAGCCATACTTGCTGCTGGGTTGTTTTTTTGGTTTTTGGTTTTTTTCCCGCAACAGGCCAAAGCAGGTCCCACGTTAGGGACTTTGCTATTAATCAGTTCGCTAGCTTGCAGTCACATGCTTGTAGTGGTGTCTCCTCATCTTGCTGAAGCACTGGAAAGTAGCCGTTAAGGTACTGTTCCGTGTTGGTAGTATGATACTATTTCTGTAAAAAGAGTATATGTAGCAAGAAGGGCTGTATTGACTTACATATGCATTAAATAGCTGGAAGGAAGTCTGAGAAATTGGTAACAGTTTACCTATAGAGGGAGGGGGACCCGGTGACTAGGGAACTGGAGCAGGAAGCAAACTTCACTGTATAACCACCTTTATCTTTTGAATTTTGAACTATGTAAATGTGTTACCTATTAAAAATAAATTTAAAATAAAACCAGATTAGTTTCTTAAATATTAATAAATACACTGACCTCCTAGCTCTAACTACAGTGGGGGAGACCTCAGGAAAGTGAGTCATATCTAAACAGACAGTTTAAAAAAGGGGGGGTACGACATCCCCAGTGCCTAGAGAGTACCTAATATGTAGTAGATAAGTGGTAAATATTTGTTAATTGAACAAATATGCTTGTTAATTTGACAAGCACCTTAGAATAACATTTACTAATCTCAAACATGAGTTGCCGAATTTTTAAAAAATGAACCTAGATTTCTGATTTAAAGCTACTACACTGCATAGGATTACCTGTAACCAATACAGGTTTTCAAGGATTAAATATTTTATTTCAGCTAGCTATCTCGGACTCCTTTTTTCTGGTATTATTACCTCACCATATCTCCATATTGTCTTAAATCTATATTATTTTTTCTTAGTTTCAGATTAATTTGGGTCCTGATGAAATTGATTAAAACACTAAACTAGTGACTACTTTGCACCTATCAAATGAGCTCTTGTGCTCTTTTTTTGTTTTGTGCTTTCTTAAAAAAGAAAGGTTGCCAAGAATAGAGTTTCTACCTCAGTGGTTTGGATATAAATTCAAACAATCTTTCTGGAAAACAGACTGCAGTATTAATGCAGGCAGGCCAGGCCTGAGGACTCAGAGGACTACAGGACCAGCCAAGGGGGTTCTAGGCTTCCCACGGGCTGGAAATAAAACTCACGGCAGCAAGAAGTGAGAGCAGAGTTGAATGAATATATAGAAGAGAGCAGATACTGACAGATGGTCTGGGAGACTCAAAGGAAAACAGGCATGAGTCTCATCTTTGTTTGCTGGTCTGGAGTTATTATTAAGGACGGTGGTCTGGTGTACATGTCCTCGCAGGCATCCAGGAACTGGTCAAAGAAGGACTAGTGCTCAGGTGTCCTCCTCAAGTCACTTAATGGCCCTGGAGCCTGGGGTCTTGGCATCTGGGTGTTTGGAGTCTGTGGTCTTGGAAAACATTCATGAGGACCTCATCTGGCCACTCCTTAGACGTTATCAGTTGTGCTGGAAGACTTCAAAGAAATCATTAACTCCTTGACCTTTACAAGGAGGACATAGATTAAGGCATGTATAAAGTGGGGGTGCAGGTCCTAGCAAAATTAGAAGCAGGAAAAGGAACAAAGAAAAAAGAATAGCTTTTTTTTTTTTTTCCATGAGGTCCCTTACAGTCTCCCTGTCTCAGCGTGACTTAAGAGTTCTAAATTTTGGGACGCCTGGGTGGCTCAGTTAAGTGTCTGCCTTCAGCTAGGTCATGATCCCAGGGTCCTGGGATCGAGCCCCGCATCGGGCTCCCTGCTCAACGGGGAGTCTGCTTCTCCCCCTGCCTCTCACCCCACTCTTGTGCTCTCGCTTGTGCACTCTCTCTCTCTAATAAAATCTTTTTTTAAAAAGTTGTAAATTTTGTCATATTCTTTTATGTAATAATTTCCATTAATTAATACTCTTTAAGGAAATAGAGTGTATAAATGTTTCAGTATGTTTTAAGGAAATGAAAAATTTGGAACAATACAAATGTCCAGTGATAGGGCAGTTATTAAATAATGTCATGTTTTTTATGTGGTGTAAGTTTTACATGATACCGAAAACTTCAGTTAGATAACCTAGCTTGGTTTCATTATACTTTTTAATATGAATAAACTCTAAAAAGCAGGATATAAATTGCTTATACACTGTAGTGTATACACATTTATAAACACACACACAGCAAAGAGTGAACTCTGCTTTTGGTAAGTTTATGGATGAGTTTTTTTAACATTGAATTTATCCATCTTCTGCAATATTACTAAACAGCCTTTTGAGAAAATTTAATGGATTAGAAATAAGAACAACATGAAATCTAATAGCTGACTGGAGGTTTCTCTAGCAGGATCTGTACCTTTTCACTGCAGACTTATTTATGTATAGCAATTCTCAAAATATAACCATCCTGGAGAGAGGCGTTCTCATTAGAACACTGCTAAAATGGAAATTTCAGCTGTTAGCTTTTGCTGAAATACCCCTTAAATTTCAAATTGTGTTGAACTTTTTGATTCTTTGGATGACCCTTTGGGATTATAATGAGTTTATTGAAAGAAACCTTTAAAAAACACTTGTGATTTTGTAAGTTTCACATTGGATTCAGGAGCTTGCTTATAATTTATCTTTTCTGGCTCAGTTGTTTAGGGTTTCTTTTTTTTCCCACAGATCCAGAGGCAGGATTGTTCACAGATATGATATAGTTTTTAATGCTTTAAGATGAAATACTGTATTATGTATAAGGAGGTGTTAGTAAATTACATAAAGAAAAAAATACAGTTACTGGTAGTATTTGTGGTACTCTACACCCTGGGTTAGGTTGCATGTACTCTCTGCAGTTCAAAGAGCCAGTAGCACAGTTGAACCTCTTTTTTTTTTCTGAGAATATTTGCCTGTTGAGGGACAACTTGGGTTGAGAATCTGCCTATAAACTACTTTATGTTCTTATTTGGAAATAATGTACTAACTTAATAGGTACAAGATCTCATTTCTGCCTTTCATTGGGGAATACTTTCAAAGGCTGATTTGATTTCTAAAAGGTCTATTTAGAAAAGAATTCTGGTTTTTGTCTTTTCTTTTTCTAGTTGAGACATCACAGAGGCTTGAGGCTAGAGTGTCATGAACGTACCAGCAGAACATGATTGTTCTTATTGAAGCCTTATTGTGTAATGCTGTAACTTTTTCAGAGTGTTGCAGAGGTAGGAATATGGGAGAGAAGCAGTCTGGATAACATGAAAGTGATGCTGGTGTCTAAGGGAAGGCGACTCGATTCTTTGGGAAGGGCTATACCTGATCCATCTATTTTCTAGGTAAGCCTGCGTTTGTTCCAAGGACTTCACCTGTGTTTTGCAAATTTTGGTGATAACTAGATCATGATTTCTATTTATCTTTAATTTGGGGAATTTCATCTTTATTATTGTAAAATGACTGTTGTCCATTAAAACAGTAATTTGTATAGTAAAACCTGAGTGAATCATTGGATCTTCACCATGTGAATGTCAATAGATTTTAAGTTTTTCTGCCAAGGGAAAATGCACTTGAATAAATGGTAAATACGTGAACAGACTAATATACTGTGTATAGGAGCCAAATAAATATTGAGTGATTAGTATACATTAAGGTTTCTGGACTCTATTAGTTAGTTGGTAAAAAGTATGTGGATAAGACCAAAATTGAGTACTGAGGGAAAAACTTAGTTGAACATTATAAGGTACACCCCAAAGACTTCAACCAGGCTCTTGATTTTAATTCAGTACATTTCCTCCTGTCAACCATGAGGTATTGTATTGTCAGACTCTGATCATTCGGTTTGTCTGAACAAGAGGAAAATAATGTATGTGTAAAATAGTAGGTAAAGGCACTTTAAACAAAATCACTTCTCTATTCCAAAAGAAGGCCTACCTCCATATCCATTTAAAACAGTTTGGTCAGTGATGGATGTATGCGCTTATTTAATATCATGGAAAAAAACGTCATGAGGGTAATTCCATTGTGTTCTTAGTTTTCAGATAATAATAGAGCTTAAATACTTGTAAAAAGTGTTTTGGAGAAATAATTATTAGATTTATCTTAGATTTCTAAGTTTCAAGGTTTAATGAATCTTCTGAATCAGAAGTTAAACACCTATTTGAATATATCACAGAATTGCCAATAAATAGTGGTGAGAGTTTTGCTAATAAGATGTAATATTTTATGGATAAGACAACTTGGAACAGTCATTTTCATCGGATGTGGTAAAACCAAGTCTATTTAAAAAATAAATGCCATAGGTTTTTAATTAGAGAAGTCAGATTCTTGCAGATTATTACATCTCATTCTAAATAATGGGTATAACCTTTTGAAAGACAATTTTTGAAGCTAAACTGTCACTGCAGTTGAGCTGGTATAAATTGTGGGGTTTTTTGTGGGGAGGAGGGGGAAGTTGGAGGCTACTTTATGTTCATATTTGGAAATAATGTTTTAAATCTGAAATCTGTTCTACAGATTTGAGTATGAGCACAGTTGAAGAGGATTCTGACACAGTAACAGTAGAAACTGTGAACTCTGTGACTTTGACTCAAGACACAGACGGGAACCTCATTCTTCATTGCCCTCAGAATGGTAGGAGAACCTTCTGGCATAGAATTGTGGATCTTTTTGAATTTTTGGATTTCATGTCACCTTTGATCCCTTTTACCCAGATAGGCAGTTGAGGCTAGGACAGTAGAAAAGGGGGTTATCTCTTTGGATCATGAATTAACCTTAATTTATATTTTTATTTTTTTAATATACCTTTGTATTTTTAAAATTTACCATAAATTTGAACTTTGAATCTCGTAGCTACAATCTATTGCACCTACAAAGATGATGATTAATTAACTGTAATATACTTCCTTTTTGATATCATTTGGTGCCTGCAATGTATGTAGTACATTAGAAAATATAGTAGTCCTGCCAATTTTTTTGCTAGTCTGTTAGAGGATTTTACATGAATCTTTGAATAAGATTTAATGTGATTATCTATAATCAATTAAGATTTCATAGCTTTGAGGCTTGTGATTTTGTTGTCACTTCTCTACCTATTCCTTATTTGTATTTGCTTTTTATTTTGCTTTAAGTTTATCTTTGCTTAACCTAGGTTTTATCTTCTTTTCTCTCATTCAGTACTTAATTTCTGGTTATTTTATTCAAACTTGGGATTTTAACTACCACCTACCTATTAAAATGATTCAAACTTCTTTTTTCTGAATTCTTTGTGTTTCTCATAGACACCTTAAATTTCACATGTTCCAAACTGAATTCTTTTACAAAATGCCCAGACCCAGTTCTCTTTCTCAGTCAGTTTCATTACTTAGTAACCCAGATCATAAATGTGGGTAGGAATAAACCCTTCTCTCATCTCCTACGTTCATTCCATCATGAAAACTTGTTGATGGTATTTTGTTTCTTGAGTCCATTGCTTCCTTTGTCTCAAGTCCCGCTTTCTTAGTTCAGAGTCTCATTTCTCACTTGGGAGGCCCTAGTAGCCTTTTAACGCATCTCCCAACCTGAATTCATCTTTCAAACTGCTGATGACCTTGCTCATGATACTCAGTAGTGTAGGAAGGTTGGTTTGTTTGTTCTGTTAAGTGTCCTGTGGTTTGTACAGTACAGAGATGGATATCTTCTCCACTTTCCTTCCAGCCTCACTTCCTGCCACATTGCATATATCTGTGTCCCAGCGAGTCACAGCTGGCTTTTTTTCCTTCCATACCTTAAGCTTTTCATACCTCACTGTCACTGCAAATAATTATTCCTAGTGCCAGTAATGATCATTACCCCTGGCATCTGTTCATTCAAGTTCTTTCCAATTTAAGATACCTTCTCCAGGAAACCTTCCTTCACCCAGAGTCTAAATTAGATGCCTCTCCCCTCATTCCACCTGCATAGCTCTTAAAACACTATTGTGAAATGGGTGCTTTAGTCATCTCCACTACCCTGTGAGTTCCTGGACAGAGAAGAGTATCTGTCATTGTTCTGTTCCCAGCACTCAGAACATAGTGGGCATTCAGTAAATATTTGTGAGTGATTTAAATAACCAGCCCTTGTCTTAATATGTGAAATATTTGGAAAGACAGGTAATTAGTAGCACAGAAGTGTGATGTTTAAAAAGTGGCGCCTCTCTTCTCATAGTTGTTGTCAGAAGCAGAGGAGCTGAGGTTCTGCACGGGGGACAGAGAAGGCGGTGCCGTTTGGGGTCCTCCTTGCACAATTGGGTTAACTAAGCAAATTGATAAGAAGATTGTCTTACAGTTACTTGTTGGAAGATTGTGGGTTTTCCTCATTGGTTCGAAGATTTTGAGATTTTTGTTTTATTTTGTTTCATTAGAAGCTGATGAAATAGACTCAGAAGATAGTACTGAACCTCCACATAAAAGGCTTTGTCTGTCTTCTGAGGATGATCAGAGTATCGATGGTTCTACTCCTTGCATATCAGTTGTTGCACTGCCACGTAAGTCACTATGTGTTCAGAACAGAGGTCCCTTCTGAAATCACAGTGTAGCTTGGGAGACATGGAATTGGCATTCCAAGGTTGACTTAGACCCATTATTTTTCTCTTCTTTGAGTCAAAAGAACTCTCAACTAATACTTAATGAGTGGGCGTGGCTCTGAATGCTTCTACATATATTGCCTGTTTTGATCTTCTCAGCCTTTTTTTAATTGTTGTCGTCCTCCCCGCCCCAAACTTTTTTAGATGTTTTCTCCTGATCGTGCGCTCCCCCATGAAATGGTAATACCACAGACACACTGTTTTTTTTTTTTTTTAACATACTGTATGTGTGTATTGTTTTATTAATGAGAATGCTTTCTTTCACCCACACCTCACCCAGAAGCATGTGTACCCTCATTGAGAAGGCATGCTGTAGAGTAGGTATTATGATCCCTGTTTTATAATGAGGAAACTAAGGCACAGAGAGGTACGAGAACGTGTCTAACGTCATACCCAGGCGTTCTGGTTCTTGAGAACTTTAATTTTGCTCTCAGCATCAAGCAAAATCACATCTTCATCCAGTTGGAAAAAATGAAGATTAGGTTTTCATCATGGCAAACCTTGTCTTCACAAGTAGACGTGCACATTTTGGGTAGAGTATATTGCTTATTCAATTGAATAGAAAAGAAACCATAAAATATCCGTTCACTGTGAGACTTTATTCAAAGACATTGTTAACGTTAATATTACTAATATTGCTTCCAGTGGCATATATAAACATAACCTATTTCTGGTTAAATGAGCTTTTCCTTCTAGTGGTGGTTCATATGATTTTTAAACTCCTAATTTGACCATCATAGCTGTGATCCACTCTTAAAACTCGATTCACCTGTCTGTACAGATACAATCCTATATGGGCATTTACTAAGCTAGAATTTTTTAAAACTCATATATAATTAACCTGTAACATTATATTAGTCTCAGGTGCACAACATAATAATTTGGTATACGTATATGTTGTGAAATGAACATAACAATTCTAGTTAATATCTAGTCACCACACATGGTTACAGCTTTTTCTCTTGTGATGAGAACTTCCAAGATCTACTCTCTTAACAATTTCCAAATATACCATAGAGTATTATTATCTATAGTTACCACATCCCCAGGACATAAAATGAAACGAAAATATTTATTTTACTAAGCCAGGGATTAGTAAGGGATTATTTTCACATAAATTATGACTGGTTAATTCATTTGGTTAAAGTTGACTACATTGGTCACAATCACAGGTTCAAACTATACTTGATATTTTGTTCTATTTTATGGTGTTAGACTGAATCCTTCACACACTCACTCACTTAACTGGGTAGGATAATTTGGATGTGCTGACCTAAAAGCACCTGAGCTGCTTGATGTGGGGTCATAGCATCATCACATTTGGAGGACATTCTGGAGCCTAACATTTACAGTAAGACTAAATTTATGAAACATGGGCTTAAAGTATGGTTCTCTAAATTGGTAAAAAAAAAAAAAAAAAAGTATGTTGATAAAATCAACTTAGGAAAACTTCTCCATTAAAAAAAAGTCACGTAAAAACATGAAGTCCTATGTCCGTCACCATCATCGGGGACTGACTGAATGGGCAGGTCATTGTTTGTTGGACTTCAGGGAAGTAAATATTATTAGCTCTTAAAGATTTAACTTCAAATTTAATTTTAATATTCAAGTTTTCATTACATGCTTTATAAAACTGATAAAAATTTATCTATCTGATCCTTAAAAATCCTCTTAAGTCTCATGTTAATCATTCTAGATCACTTACCACTTCTTACTGCGATTACCTACCACCACATTTACTCCATTTCCTATTCACAGAACTCTTGGTGATTATTCATTTAGATGACTGTTGCAATATCTTAGCCTCTTCTACCTTTTGTTCTCCATACTACCTTGTTTATTACTCCCACTGCCTCCTTTGCTGTCACCTATTAACTGGAGTCCGTTTGTGATCTGCTTCCAGCACTACGTCCTATGTTTCCAGGTTACTTTCTCTAATACTTTTGAATGTTTGCAGTCCTTTGCCCACTAGGACCCACTGATCTTACCACTTTTGCATTATTCTTTTCCACTTGTATCTTTTGTTTCCTCCCTACCCACTTTGTTTTGTGGTTAATCATTATAATCCCTCTTGCATTTACCCTCACATCCTTTTTTCCTTCTTTCACTTCATTGTCCTTCAGTGAAACCACAACCACCTAACAGTGGTTAAATCTATCTGGCCGTTTATGTCTGTACTGGCACAGCTAATTGCAAAACAGCACAAGCAAGCTAAGTGATCTTACTTTAAATTCATGATGAGTAACTTGAAGTGGACTCATACTGTTGCCTGCCAGTCACGCCACACCTACCAAGTGGATGTTTTTTTCTCCCGCTCAGAGATGACTGTTTCAAACATGCCTGAAACCTCTAGTATTTTCTCCGCCTTTGTTACTCTCAGCGGATAACCTTGCTTCTACTTACTGAGAAAACTAAGGTAGTCCGAACAAGTTTCTGCAAGTTTCCACTACTACAAATACACACCCACGTGTAGCCATGTCCATACATTCTGTCTTTTCTTCTAGCTACGGCCAGCCCTTCGCTTTACTACCTACCCAGGGACACTGTCGCAGCATTTCTTTCCCTTCTTCTCTGAATCATCAGTTTTTTGTTCTCTACTGGATCATTCCCATCAGCATTGCAAACATACTATAATGTCTTCTTTAAAATAAAACGTCCCTGGGATGCCTGGGTGGCTCAGTCGGTTATGCGTCTGCCTTCAGCTCAGGTCATGATCCCAGGGTCCTGGGATCGAGTCCCAAGTTTGCCTCCCTGCTCAGCGGGGAGCCTCCTGCTCCCCCTGCTTGTGCGCTCTCTCTCTCTCTCTTTCTCGGTCACAAATAAATAAAATCTTTAAATAAAATAAAATAAAAAGTCCCATTAGCCCACTTTGGGTTCCCATCTAACTTCTTTCCTTTAGAGCAGAATACTTCAAAAAAAAAAAAAAAAAAAGAAGATAGGCCTGATAGGCCTACCTCTATTTCTTCCTCCATTCTTCCTAAACCCACTCCAGTCAGGGTTTCATCTCTTATCACTTCACCAAAACTGTTCTTCCCAGATCTCCAGAGACTATCTTGTTGCTAAGTCTAGTAGTGATTTTTGTTTGTTTGTTTCATTCTTCTTCTTTACTTAATCTAGTCACAATTTCTGACAATATTTATCACTCTGTCTTCTCTAGAACATTTTGTCATTTGGTCTCCAGGGAACACATTCCTCTAATTTTTTTTTTTTCTACCTTTCTGTCTGCGCCTTCGGAGTCTCTTATGCTAACCTGTTCACATCTCCCCGGGCTCTTAATTGGAGTAGTCCAGGACTCAGTTCTTAGGCTGCTTCTGTTTCGTTTTCTCTCACTCCCTAGAATTCATGGTTTTAAATCCTATCTCAGGTGATGATGCCCAGATTTATTCCAGTCCAGACTTGCTCTTAATTCTAGATGTTTAACCTCAAACGAGTGTGTTAAAACCAAGCTCCTGAAATTTCTTAAATTCTAACATTTGCTTCTTCTGCAGTCTTCCTCATTTCATTAATGGCAGGTACATTCTTCCAGTAGTGCAGATTTTTAAAACTTCAGTAACATCCTGGACTTTTCAGTTTCTTTCATATTTGGTTTATCCACAAATCCTGTTGGTGCCCAAGTCAAGGTAAATCCACAATTTGAACTACTCGTCACCTCCACTTGCCTTCGGCCCTGGTCCAAGTCACTGACTTCTCTTACCTGGATTATTGAATGAGCTTCTTAACCGGTTTCACTACAGCCCTTCCTGCCCTTCAGACTGTTGTCTCCTTAGGAGCCAGTGATCCCATTAAAATAAAAAAAAAGTCAGATTATGTCACTCTGCGTCTTCCAGTGGTTTCCTATGTGAGCATTAAAGCCAAAGTCTTTACATTGGCCTTCAAGTCCCCACACAGTATCTTAATGTTCTTGTTCAGTCTTCTCTGGTCACTCTGCCCTCCTTGCCATTCCTTTGGACAGTCCATGTGTGCCCCTGTCTCAGAGTCTCTGCCCTTGGCTTCTGCATGAAGTGTTCTTCCTCAGGATGCCTGTGTGACTAGCTCCCTTTGTCACTTGGGTCCAAATCTTGGTTACTTTTCCTGGCCCTCCCCTCCCCCAATACGTTCCCTTTTCTGCTTTATTTTTTCTCACTGTTTATCAACATCTGACATACTATGTTCATTTTGTGTCTTCCTCACTAGAATAGGAGCACCATGAAGGCAGGACTTTGTTTCATTTGCTTACTGCTGTCTTCCCATCACCCAACGCAATACCTAGTATGTATTAGGTACACAATTTTTGTTAAGCATATATGGCAAGGAATGTGTTAGGAAATTAGATGGTCACGTATTTTTTTCCATGGATTTTTTTTTTTTTTTAATAATTAGAACTTGCATTTATTCTGCAGTTGAATTGTTCTTTTTTCTTGAAGTTTCAGAAAATGATCAGAGCTTTGAGGTGACCATGACTGCAACCACAGAAGTGGCAGATGATGAGATTACTGAGGGAACTGTGACACAGATCCAGGTATAGTGAGTCTTTTTACTGACCGCAAGAGGATTATCCTTAACACATACCTTAGGTGATAAAATGATGAGAACATAATTTGTCTGACAAAGGACAGAATTGAGGTAAGATTTATTATTTTCATTCAGGTTTCCAGTCCCCACTTATATGAATCTCAGAATAGTAGGCAAAGATAGAGTTTGAAAATTCATTCCCTGTAGAGTGGTTCACATCTGTTGAAACAGATGGTGCACGTGCATTCTTTAGCTGCGTGGAATGATCTCACCTGAGCTATTAAATAACTTTAAATTTTATCTTACCAGTTATATAAGATATTGATCTAAAGCTTTTGAAGTGTTACCCAGCAGTATCTCTAATGACTGATTTAGAAGGGCTGCATATGTGCTCTGTTCTAATATGAATGGAAGCTATTCGTTTCACATAGATATTAATTATAACAGTTGTAGTCCCTTTTGGTGCCTCGAGGACTAAGATACCTTTTACCCTGGGTTAAGTGATTGGGTAACAAGCAGGGCTTACTGCTTTCCTTCCATGTGAACTTCTTTGTCTCGTACGAGTTATTTCTGCCAAATGTAATCAGAATTCTTTGCTCTTTTAGATAGCCTGGAGCTTAAATTTTACTTTTAAGTTTATGTCTGGCTGATTGTGCCTTTCTTTTTAGTATCTTGTCCTTTTGCTTCATTTCTTTATTTAATAGCATATTTTTGAAGTAGATAATAAAGACATTATGTCATTATTTTTCCAATGACCCTTCAGTTAAGTGTAAGAGTTACGAGTTGATGTATAACATCAAGGACTAAGGAAATCTCAGGTGGGTGCACTGTCAACGTTTTTCAACAGGGAGCTTTACAGTGGTTCTAGAATGACAGGATTTCTAGAGGAGTGAGTCTTTCATGTGCTTCAAACAGTTTTGAGTCTGCCTAGAGATCCTTATCATCTACTCTTGGATTTCAGAGAGTGATCTGGACAGGAATTTCTTCCAAGTCCTCTGAAGCCATAGAGCACATTCTTCAAAATGGGGCTTGTCAAAGTCATTTCCAATTCAAAGACTGTATAGTCTCACTTCAATTTCGTTTTCAGCACAGTAAAAATAGCTGTGTATATATATGTGTGTGATTTGGTTTACAACCTACTTGTTAAAAGATTGGGCAATGGCAGTGTGAGTTAGACAAATTATAGGGTTGTTTTGTTTGGGTTATTTCTTAAGAGTTAATGAGTTATAATTTGATATTAGCCTCTTGGTTTGTAATTGCCATTTTAGTGAATGAAAAACATTTAATAGGGGCGCCTGGGTGGCTCAGTTGGTTAAGCAACTGCCTTCGGCTCGGGTCATGATCCTGGAGTCCTGGGATCGAGTCCCACATCGGGCTCCTTGCTCGGCGGGGAGTCTGCTTCTCCCTCTGATCCTCCCCCTCTCATGCTCTCTGTCTCCCATTCTCTCTCTCAGATAAATAAATTTAAAAAATCTTTAAAAAAAAAAAAAATGGAAAAAAAGAAAAACGTTTAATAATTTCTAATATTTGTTTCATAAAAATACCATTAGGTTGTGAGTGAAAGCATAGTTCAAAGTTCAGAACTAGCCTGTTTTTTGCCGTGTTCTGTGTCAAAGCCGGTGTAACTATTTCACGTATTGCTGTAGTTAATGTACCATCCCATTTCAGCATTGGAACTAGCTGGAAAATAATTAGAAACCAAAAAATTTGCCAATATTTATAGTGCTTTGTGGTTGCAAGAGGTATTTAGTGGGTGAAATATTTAGATTTCCAAGTCTGTGTATGTTACAGACATAAAACCCTGCACAACCAAACCAACTCAGAAAGGCTGCATTTCAAAAACAGCAGCATACTAAATATATCTGAGTAATTTTAAAAAATGTATATATAAAGTAGTGAAAAATGGGGGTAAAATACTGTAAAACTTCATAATATCTATATACTAAGTATAGTTAGACATCCTTTGAGGTACCTAAGTCTTCTGCTATACTCAATTCATTTGCTATGGAAGGTTTTAAGTTTTACTGCTAAAATTTAATAATTGTTGGCTTCATTTGATGGCTATTTACATGTTTACCATTTACATGTTTACTCTTTGTAAGTAATAATTGTATTTCTTCATCAGGGTAATTTGAAAGAGAAGGCATTAGGTGTTTGCCCAAAAATAGCAGTTAATCAGCATGATAGGTGTATTCCTAAGGTTCACAGAGTGGGCTGTATATTTAGACTCACTTTGGGAAATGGTGATTTTATTCTTTTAACCAGCTGATTAATACATAAGAGAAGGTCACCTCAGGAGAGTATTTTCTACATTACATTTCTTAACAATGGGTATTGTTTGTATCAGGGTCTTTTCACAGCAATCTGTCACCCTTAATGAATAACCTCAGTGTCAAATCTTAGTTGGGTTGTTCAGAATAGAAGAGGCCTTAGACATTGTCCAGATATCTCCATTCTCACCTTTATAAAGGTAGCTTCTTGATCTTTAAAACAAAAAAATCTAAAATGTATGACACATAAACATAGGGTGACAAAACTTTTCATACTTATTCCAGTGACTCTAGCTTTTTGTCCATGGATTTAAGAAAAGTGCTTTCTTAAATACAACATACTCATTACTCCCAGATAAAAAAATAACATAGGTAACAGTAGAAACGTGACTTTCCTCATTGTGCTTGGGTTGTTCACTGACAGCTTCTCTCTTCCCAAGCATGATGATTTCAGTTCCTCTTGAAATTAGAAATTCAGTTTCTGCCTATTCAAGGAATAGTCCAGTGTCTGTTAGGACTTAACCTCCAGCCAGTGACATAGCTTAGTTGATCCAGTCCGGAGACTGAACTGAGTTGAGTGGTCACTAGGCATGTGACTGTCCTCCTGGTCTGCCTATGATAGATGGGTTTGTCCCTGAAATGGTAGCCCTGTTGCCACATCTTCCTTACTCACACTATAGCTGTCTTTAGCCCAAGGCCAGCTCTCTTAAGCGGTTTTGTTCCTGCAGAATTTGCTAGATCAGGTATATCTGTAATTGAAAATGTACCTGGTGTGATCATTGCATAGATATACTAAAAGCCACTAAATTGTGTACTTTAAAGGGTGAGCTTTATGGTGTGTTAATTATATCTCAGTAAAGCTGTTGGTTTTTAACTGCACATTTCTCAGTAAAGACTACTTTAGCTGCAATAATAATAAAAAGTGGTAACATAGTTCTTTGAGAAGAAGGTACATTGATGAGGTTAGGAATTAGTTCTAGAGGTTGGCTAAAACAAACTTGCCAATAAACAATAAGGAGACCATGATTTTGCTGTGTCTTTTGATTTGGTCTATTAATCCTTTAAATTTAGCAAGAGGTTACATTACAGATGACTATATTTTTGCAGCAAACTACCTATAAGGACCTGAACGATCATGACAGTCAAACGAAGCATTTCCATTTTATTATATGTATGAGCTCATTTTACATATGTAAATAAACAGATAGCTTTAGATATCCTATATTGATTTAAGTACTTAATGGAACCTTAGCTATTATTCTGTAAAATTCAGGCCACTAGTGCAGAGTTAACTTGCTTAAATGAAAGTCATATTTTGTTAATGCAGGCAGTTTTGTTTTCATACTGTCATAATAAAAGCAGCAAAGAAATACTTGTTTTTCTATAAACTGAATGTATTTTTACTATATCTAAAGCAAATGAATTCCATAGATTACATTAGTGTTGCAGACAAAGATGAATCAGGTTGTATTAAATCAAGCTATACTTGTTTGTTTTTTTCTTTTTTTTTTTTTTTTACCTTTACCTCTTCAAGATTCTACAGAATGAGCAACTAGATGAAATATCTTCCTTGGGTAATGAGGAAGTTTCAGCAGTTAGCCAAGCATGGTTTACAACTAAAGAAGATAAGGATTCTCTGACCAACAAAGGTAAGATATAATGTGAATTTTAGTGTCCACTGGGGGAAAAAAAAAAAGTGGGAGGTAAGAAGAACTTGTAGTCATCAGGATTTTGAGGACTTCATAATTGTGATTGAGTGAGTTAACAATATTTGAGTTTTTGTAATTGATTAACTTTGGCTCTGAATGAGACCATGAAACCAGCGTTTGTTTTTTAATAATTAATCATAATTTCTCTGAGATGCAGTAATTTATAAACAGATGCACAGTGGTGGCATTTAAAAGAAAGTACAGTTACTGCACGTGGGAGTGGGAAGTCAAGTCTTTTCAGAGATCTAACTTTGGTCTGATAAGCAGCTTAGAGGTTTAAAGTGTTTATAGTGCTACGGAGTTCATGAGGATTGATAGGGAGCTGCTACAAGAAAGTCGGGGGTGTGCGTACGTCACTCTGAAGTTAAGAGAAGGAATTGTTTTCAACCACTGCATAGTAAATACTCATTATGAATATATTATTCACTTGGTATCCAACATATTATGTTTACCTTGGAATTTAGCTACATTTTATTCCCACAGATAATTTATTTAATCACAAAGCAAATCTGAAGTATTTTATTCCTCTTGAGGGATAACATTTTCTATAACATTATTTCTTTTCCTTTAAAGGACATAAATGGAAACAGGGGATGTGGTCTAAGGAAGAAATTGATATTTTGATGAACAATATTGAACGCTATCTAAAGGTATTTTATGGCATAATTTTTTGTTTCACAAATTTTTTCATTGCCAATTGCAAAAATTATCAAAGCATCATTGTATGTACTTTACAAGGAGCTTTCCAGTAATTTTTGTAATGGTTGATTGGTTAATATGTCATAGCTTCATAATTCTAAGGTATATGATTACAGTATATTTTTAAACAAATTTCAAATTCTTTTTTTTTTTTTTTTTTTAAGATTTTATTTATTTGACAGAGAGAGACAGTGAGAGAGGGAACACAGCAGGGGGAGTGGGAGAGGGAGAAGCAGGCTTCCCGCTGAGCAGGGAGCCCGGTGTGGGGCTCGATCCCAGGACGCTGGGATCATGACCTGAGCCGAAGGCAGACGCTTAACGACTGAGCCACCCAGGCGCCCCAACAAATTTCGAATTCTTAGTTTAAAATAGCTGTAATGCGTTAGTTAACACCTGAAGTTTAGACAAAATCCTAATAGCTTCTCAGAATCTTAAAGCCCTGTCTTTTCAAGCAGCCTGTAGTTTAAGCTTGTATTGTCTACAGCCTAAGATATACGTCTTCTTCTTTGAATTTATGACATGAGACTTCCGCCTTTAAAAAAAAATGAATAATTTAGTTCATTTTCCTGTTGAGGCTTATCTGCTGTTAGCTAAGTCATCCTTTTCATTAAATGTCTCTGGAACATAGTGTTTCTGAGGTACTGGAGATATGAATTGCCATAACACATGGTATTGGCTTTTTAAAAGCCAGCAGTTCATTTGGGAATATTGAAAGCAGATGAAGAGCAATATAAGGCTTTGTACCATGTGAGTGATACATGTTGTGAATTCTGCATGAGATCGGAGAAGGAAGAGTATATTCTTAGGGTTAGGACAGTTACGGAGAATATTTGGAAGAGCAAGGATTTGAGTGGAGTCTTAAAGGAACAGAACTTGGGCTAGAATGGGGCTGGAGGGAGCATGAGCAAATGCTGAGCACCAGGGAGTCAGAAACGAAACCCAGAGCACAATAAATTAGCCCTTTAACTTGCACTGAGTCATTAGCCTCTGGAAACTTGGCTTTGAAGTCCAGTCCAAAGAACTAGAACTCTGTCCCATAGGAAATGAGAAAAACTGGTAACTTAGTTGAGTGAGAGATTGGTGGAGTAGGTCTGTGCTCTTCTCAAGGAAATTTTTCCAGTTATTTGCTGACCATTCCCTTAAAGGAGTTAGTGCATGTTTGAAATACATACCATCAGCATTGTTTGGGAATGGGAGGTGTACAGTATTTATTTAACCATTCTCCTATTGTTTGATACTTAGGTGGTTTATATAATTTTTCACTATTATAAATACATTGCTGCCTAGAATGTCCACATTCTTTTTTTTCCCCCCTTAAATAGTTGTTTATAATGTCCACATTCTTAAACCTAATTTTAATCTGCACTGTTTCCAAGCTAAGCTCTGTAAACTATAAAGAGTAAATAAAAAACTTCAGTTCTTTGTTAATGAATAAAGATCCTTCCCACCAAACTAATTTTTTTAAGAGAAACACAAATACAGTGACCATTGAAAACGTATGTCCGCTGGTCACATACACTTTAGTTAATTAAAACTTGGAAAATGCTGCAGGTTTAGATAAGACAGTAATGAATGGTAAGAACACTGAACTTTGGGAATTAAGAAGCTGGTTTCTTGTCTAGGGGATTGGAGTAGATGGTTTCCAAGAACCCCTTCAACTCTATGAATAAAGGGCGGGAATGCGACAGATATTGGAGACCTTTTAGAGGACCATTTCACTTGACCAGATGAGAGCAATTAAGGACTCTATAAACTACAGTGATGGCAGAATTGGCAGGGAAAGGGCAGATGAGCAGGTAGTCTCTAAGGACGCCTGGTGACTGGATGTTGGGGAGGAGGGAAAAGGAGGATTTGGAATAACTTCAGAGTGTTTTATTTCGGATGACTGGGAGAATGATTAATGGATTGGCAGAGATAGGAAATGTCCAAAAAGATGTACTGATCGTGGGAAAAGGTATTTTGTTTGATAGTTGATCATGGATTTTATTATGTGCTGCTGTTTAAGAACATTGTGGAGCCATTTGTAAACCAATTAATTAGACGTCAGAGAAGTGAAAGTAACTGCTACAAGTGGAAAAAAGAGAGCGCAAAAGGATCTTTTCATCTCACTATATGGTCATCCTGCAACACAGTGCCTTTCAGATATTTAGACTTGTAAATGTTAGGTTTAATTATTTGCAGAACTGGCATAAGAGAATTTTAGATTCTAAAATTTAGAAACTTTGGGGCACCTAGCTGGTTCAGTCAGTAGACTATGACTCTTCATCTTGGGGTCATGAGTTTGAACCCCATGTTGGGTGTGGAGATTACTAAAAAAAAAAAAATTTTAATAAATAAAATGTAGAAACTTTTTACTGTGAAGTTTTGTATATTCAAGAGAATGTATATAATGCATATCAGTGTAGTTTTACCTCTTTTTGAAATTTATGTAAATAGATTCATTCTTTGGGTGTTCTGTAACTGGCTTCTGTTGTTTATTACTGTGATTTTGTGATCCCTACCCTGTTGATTCTTTTTTTTTTTTAGCTGTATTTCACTATGCCAATGCATATACTGTAAGTTACCCATGCATAGTTAATGGTTGTTTTGGGTCTTTTTAGTTTTTTTGCTATTTATTTATACAAATTTGATGGGTGTGAATGGTATTTTATTATGGATTTAATTTGTATTCCTCTGATTACATACTTTTATATGCTTACTGGCCACTTTTTATGTTTCCTCTTTGAAATTCCTGTTTGCGTTTTTCATCAGTTTTTTATGGGGTTATCTTTTTCATTTTCTAGACATTCTTAATATTAACGGCATTTTGTTTATTTGTATGACAGATATCTTGTCTCAATTCAGTGGCCTATCTTTTCCTTCTTCCTGGGGGTCATTTGATGAAAAAAGATTCTTAATTTCAATATCAAAATCCTTATTCTTTCATATTTTGCATGGTTATTTAAGAAATTCTCCTCTGCTTCAAGGGCATAAAGATACTGCCCTAGATATTGTCACATAAAAGTTCTATAGTTTTGCCTTTCCTGTTGATTTTTTTTTTTCCTATAGCTCTGAGATGGGGTTTCACTATTGGGGTTTTTTTGGTTTCATATGGAAGATCGTTGTCCCAGCATCGCTATGGAATGTTGGTCTTCTCCCAATCTACAATGTCCATTTTGTCCCAAGTCGAGCTTCCCCAGATTTGTTCCTGTTTTCTGACGTGTTCCTAGGTTCTGTTTGTTGATACTTGCACTAGTATAGATAGCACTATCTAGAGAAATCAAAGCATCTGATGGGGCAAGTCTCTTTATGAATGTCTTGGCCCTTTTGGGCCCTTTGCTCTTCCATTATAAATTTAGAACCAAGTTGCAGAGAATGGAAGACCGTTGGAATTTTTATTGGGACTGCACTGAATCTGTGCATCAATTTGAGGGTAATTAACATCTTTACAGTATTCCATCTTCCTATAGAGAACATTGTATACCCTCCATTGTAGTGGCTTCCTGTTTAATACCTTTTGGTACTTTGTTTTCCTCCACAAAGGACTTGCAGCACTTGCCTAAGATTTAGTCCTGTTGCTTTTAATTATGATGTTACTGTAAATGAGAACTTTTAAACTTTTTTTGATCTTTGTATAGAAATGAAAATGACTTTATATATTGATTTTGTAACCAGTATTTGCTACTCTTAAGTTTCTACATATATAATACCTGTGAATGATTTTTTCTTTTTCAATCTATACTTTTTATATATTTTCTTTTATTAGGTTATCAGCAAATCCAAACTCAATAGGAATATAATCACATATGAATGTTCTGTGTTATGAATGTTCTTTCCATATCTATAGCTATTTACGTTTTTTCCATAAATTTAATCTTTAATGCTGTAATAATAACAATTTTTTTTTTTTAGTTAACACAAAATTCCTGGAGTAAGCTCACCTTCTGTGTGGATTACTGACCTTCTTACACATTGCTGGTGCTCAATATTTTAGGGACTAGGGGATCTGTGTTACAGAAGGAGCTTGCCTGAAAATTCTTTTCTGAAACTATCCTTGTGTGGTTTTGCTACTGAGGTTATGCTAGCCTCATAAAATGAATGAGGAAGTGTCCCGCCTGTTTTTCTGTACCCTAGAATAGTTTAAAATCAGAATTATGTTTCTCTTGATTGTTTGGTAGGATTTACCTGTAAAGTCATGTGGGCCTGGTATTTCCATTGTGAAAAATTATTAATAACTGATTAAATTTTCTTGGTGGTCTGTGCTTATTAGATTTTCTATCTCTTCCTGAGTCTCTTTTGGTAAGTTGACTTTTTCTAGGAGTTTATTCATTTTATTTAAGTTTTCAAATTTATTGCCATAGAATTTTCATAATGTTCAACTCTCTAATCTTTGTAGCATCTCTACTTAGGCCCCATTTTTTCATTTCCAGTATTGTTTTGTCTTTCAGTTTTGCCATAGTTTATCTTTTCATATTTTATTAGTCTTGATGAATCTTTTCAAAGAACCATTTTTTAGCATTGCTTGTAGTTTGTTATTTATTTGATTCCTGATTCCATTCATTTTGTTCTTACAATTTTCTTCTACTTTCTTTAGATACTAATTTTTTATAATTTTAAAAGGGGTTGACACAACTTGACTTTATTGCATTTAATAGTTTATTTTTGGAGCATTTAAGTATCACTTTATTATCTCTTCAAACATTTTAAAGTTTATATTTGACTTACTATTTCTCTAAATGCCATTGATGATCCTGAACATAAAAAAACAACTTTTAAAAAGCATAGTATATCCATATGCATTTTATCAGAAATCCCTAAATCAAAGAAATGTAACCCATTTAGGCACGCGGAATAAAAGATGCTACAGAAATCATCTTTGAGATGTCAAAAGACGAAAGAAAAGATTTCTACAGGACTATAGCATGGGGTCTGAACCGGCCTTTGTTTGCAGTTTATAGAAGAGTGCTTCGCATGTATGATGACAGAAACCATGTGGGAAAGTATGAAAACTTGTAATGCTGCATGTTTTCATGTAATTAGGGGAAATATTTAAAGAGCTATCATTTTTTAAATATAGTTATCAGAATTTTAATTGGAGACAGCTATGAATTACTGTTTGCTGTGTTAATATTTTTTTTCTCCAGGTCCATGTTGTAAATACGGAAATCTCATTATAATAAGGCCTCTTAGAAATTAGAATCTCAATCACCTTATATATGTCAGATTTTAGACTTAGCTGTCTTCATCAAAGTCTGCTTTGTAATAAAGTAACATAATAAAAATATAGTGGTTAAAGATTTAGGAAGTTGAAAAAAACCCTCTAAATTCATTGGTAACGTTGTTCCTTTTTTTTTTTTTTTTTTTAATAGTATAGCATTTCCTAGGTTAGTGACTTTATATATATATATAAAACCAGAGTGGAAAATAAATAACTAAATTTCTGAATACAATGCCTGGATTTCTGTTATAGGTAACATTTATGGGAAGGCATCATTTTTTTTTCAATGCAATGATTCTTTGGTGTTACTGACATATTTTTAATTTCTCTTTGGGAATTTTAGGTAGTTATACTATGGCTTATTAGATACTGCTTTAAAAAAGAACATTGCATTGGCTGTATTGAGTACTTGCCATCTAGAGAAAATGAGCCTTTACATTGGAGCAAGAGTATGGCAGATATCCGTGCATGGGTAGGGGAAATGAAGAGAAGTTTTTTAAATTTTTTGGTGCCTTGTGAGAATTTACCATAGATTTGCATTTTGGCTCTGGTTTACAATGTCATGCATAGCTATGTTAGAGGGCCTGAAACCAGTTTTGAAATAATGGAAGACTTAAAGCAGAATAGGAGCAAATATGTTTTAAATGTTGAATTTTCCTAGAGAAAGATGTACATTGCTCACTTTTATTATAGCTAAAAGTATTTTTTTTTACAAAAAAGAAGATAGAAGAATTAGTTTTAATTTTTAGTAATTTACTTTGAAATTGGTTACTTTAAAAATATTATCAGTATGCTAAGTGACTTAACATTTGGCTCCCTAAGTGAAATTCTGATTTTTATTAAGGTTTTTTAGCATTCTTTGTTTTAATTGATCTTTTTAAAAATTTCTTTAAATTTCTAGATATACACCTGAAGAAATTGAAAAGCTCAAGGAGTAAGTTTAAAATTTTTTTTCTTTTCCTGAATTCTGATAGTTGGGTTTTAACTTTTTTAATACCTTTGTTTTTTAAACTTTTACTGTGAAAATGTCTAGAGATTTTTAGTAGACTGGTGTAATTTAATCCTGCTATTAAGCATGATTGACCATAAGAAGAACTTTTCAGATCCATACATGCACAGAGTAGCCATGCCCATAAATTTCATCTTCTCCTATAGTGAGTTGCTGAATGAAATGTGTCCTCAGACCACTAATAAGGGTTACAGAAGAGATTAGATGGCCATTCTTGGTGGCCTGAAGACTAAATACTAAATACCAGGAACTTAATACCAGGATCAAAACCAGGGTTGTGCTACATGCTTAGTTTAGAATGGTGACTTAGCAAATGTTTCACTTAATGTCTGGGCGAACTCTACTTTATGAAGGCTATTTCGCAGGAAAAATAATTTTCTTTGTTGAGTAGGGCCATAAAGTATGGGTTAATGGATTGTATGGATTGTGGAAAAAATTGAGGGTTGATCCTCTTTATGATGGTAGCAGCTTGGGAAACTTTTTCAGATGTCTGAGAAGAGCTCGTTAGGAGTACTGAAAAGGGAACAATCTGGGGATTGCCTGGGAGATTGTGTCAGTAACCTGAGGGGAAATTTGGTCTTTTTTGAACACATATCCAAGTTACTTATTTCTTCTCTGACCCAGGAAAAAGGCAATTGCTGCCTGTTTTTTTTTCACCCACAGACAACTGTGGACCCCAAAAAAAGGCCACACTTTCAAACTTTGGCTCTCAAAGTATTGCTGCCCACAACTTCCAAACCAGTCAAATGGGAAGAAGAAGAATGAAGAATAAATGATGAAATTAAAAGGGAGAAAACAGTTGAACCCAATGCTGATTGGCAGACTCTTGTTTTAGGCTCCGGATAAAGCATGGCAATGACTGGGCAACAATAGGGGCGGCGCTAGGAAGAAGCGCGTCTTCCGTCAAAGATCGGTGCCGACTGATGAAGGATACTTGCAACACAGGTACTGTGAGCGCTGCCGATGGGCTGCTCTTGTCTCCATCAGAGCTTCCCGCCCTGTCACATACTGCTTTCTCTTCTCTTCTGGAAAGAAATTTGTCATTCGCTTGAGTTCACATTTTATTTTCTTCGCGCTTTGTAGGCCCGAGTAATCCTTCATTTTTCTGCTTTTGTGCGAGGTGACATTGTTCACAGGGACACATGTCCTCAGTTTCCGAGGTTTTAGGTATAGCATGTTTCCATTTTGTAGCCATTCAAAGCTGCTCCAGTTGGGAAAGTTGTTACTAGGTTTATGTACAGGAAGTAGTTTTAATTTAAGCCCATCTAACTGTTGAGCTTCTGTTAACAGCTTATCCACTCATGTTTGTAAAAAACTTAAAAAGTTACCTTTCAGTGCTGTGGCTCTGTTTTGCTTATTTCAAACAAGTAAGTATATTTTTCCATAGAAAAGACTTGTCGTTAGTGTTTCAGTCTCTAGTACAGACCACACATGCCTATTTAACTCTTAATGTATACAAATGCACTGATGATACTGTTAAACCTACCCTTTGTGACCAACAACAGTATTGAGGCTCCGGCACTAGCTCTCAGATAACTTTTCTGAGCCTCAGTCTCCTCTAAAATGAAGAGTTAGAAGAGGTGATCTGTAATTCTCATATATGAGAAGGGAACTATGATCTCATAGTTCCTTTTTAGCCCTAAAATTCTCTGAAGGAGCCACAATCTGCTCAGTCTTTCAATAAGAAAAATAGTTCTCAAGTTAAGCTTCCAGGTTATATATTTTCTTTTTTCACCTCCCTACCCCGCCAAAGTGGAATCAGGAATATTTCCTGCTTAACCATTCATTCCACCAGCCCTGTGACCCACAAGACATTGAGAACATAAATCCCACCAACTCTGTCATTCTGTGGTTAATGACAGCTTAATGAATGAAGCAGGAATAGGAGCTCTAGATTTAGGATTTGACCCCAGAGTTTCATGTAAGGCACTGTGAGTACAGAACCCCTTTTGTTGCCATGCTAAAGTAGAAGAGCAGGACTTTGTCTTGAATATATGGTATCTAGAACTGTGCCTAGAACATAATAGAAGTTCAATAAATATTTGTTGAATGAATGAATCCCTGATGCAAGCACACAACTCTTGAAATTTTCTAGACATTTTTAGCTACTAGTAACAAAATGGAAACAGAAGTAGAAGGAGTAAAAAAAATGTTTTTCTGCTCAAGTTCCTTAAGAAAAGACCAAGAGGATCATTTGGTGTCATTACTGGTTTATGGCTTTAGGAAAACCTGGAGTAAAATCATGTGTGAATACCAGTCTCAGACTTCTGTTTTATCACAATATCTTAGAGTTGGGATAGTGGGGAAAGGAGATGGTATAAACCTAGTTTCCATTTTTACTTAAGTGGGTAGGAGCCCATAGGAGTTACTCCACTTGTCTCTCATCATTCATTCCTCTAATGAAGGCTCTCTATTGAGCTTACTCAACTTCTGCACAGCAGGAAATTTTAGGCAAGACTAAGGAAAAATTGTGATTGTAAGTTTCTGTGTCCATGTCGCCTCCATGAAGCTCTTCCCACTTAGGATTAGTGCAACTTGACAGCGTATAATTTTTTCTAGGTATGTATTGCGTAGTTTTTCTTTCCATAAGGAGTCAGTCAGTATTTTCTAGTAGGATTCTATATTTTCTTTTGTATCAAGAACCTTACTGGGCTAGTCAGGTGCAACCGTCTTAGTAGATATGTGCAGATTCCCGCCCCAGGGTCGTTCAGAAATAACTTTTGGTGCTACTGCGTACTTCCATCAGTCCTTGGAAATACAGGGCTGTATCTGATTTGCAAAAAAAAAAAGAAGAAGGTAGCAGTAGTGGTCTAGATGATTTCCTTCTTTCAGGGAAGTGGACGGAAGAAGAGGAGAAGAGACTTGCAGAGGTGGTTCATGAATTGACAAGCACTGAGCCAGGTGACATAGTGACACAGGGCGTGTCATGGGCAGCTGTGGCAGAGCGAGTCGGGACCCGCTCAGAAAAGCAGTGTCGTTCTAAATGGCTCAACTACCTGAACTGGAAACAGAGTGGAGGTACTGAATGGACCAAGGAAGATGAAATCAATCTCATCCTCAGGTTTGTGTCGTAAGTCCTTTAATAACAAAAGCTGCTTAATAGCTGTAGTTGTCTTGACTGGTAGTTCCTCTTTTGGTTTCCCTAGATGCCTAATGTCTGAAAAGCATCCTTTCCATAGAGAAAGGATCCATGGAGGATCTTTCAGATCCTATGCATTTCATATTGAGCTCTTTTTTTGTTGTTTTGTGTTTGTTCCTTTTTAGAGGATTTAGTGCTCGTGCAAAGTACCAGATTGAAGGCGTGGAGACTGAAGTCCTCTCTCTGTCCACAGAACAGGTACGGCACAGTGGCCCTGCAGCTTGCCACTGTCCCACCAATGTGCCTCAGTGCTAGCAGAGGGGCTCCATGTGCAGGGGAAGAGGGCTCTTCAGTCTCCATGCCCTTCAATCTTGGGCTCCTGTGCTAAGATTGCCAAGAAGGGGGCCCAGTCTGCAGTTATCCCACACCTTCCCACTGGCCCCAGTCACGCACTTCCATTTTTTTTTTTAAGGTAGTCGGTATAACCATTAAGACTCAGTGATTCAAGTGGGCAAAAATACCAACAAGAAGATGTTTGAGACACTGAAGTAATAAAAGCTACTCCCTCCTGAAAATCAAAATCATCATGACAGTTGAAGCTAGAAAACAAACAGACCATTCATACCCCAAATTGAGTGGTACTATCATGTTGATGGTTTTTGTTTTGGTTGCTGCTGGAGTATTCTCTTTCTAGCATTTTATTTTGGGTTTTGTTTTTAATATACTTCTTTCAACCGGTCATCTGCAAATAGCTCATTTCTCAACATTTTTATTACAGATATGGAAAAGCTCAGATCTAGGAAGTAACTTGCTATGACACACTCTAAAACATGGCAGAACACTATATAACTAACCCTGTTCTTACCCTCTTCTAATCTTTAGCTACTCCCTTGCCTTTACAGTGCTTCATCTGCTTCTGACCGTTTACGGTCTGGCCCCTTGCTTGTACCATTAACAAAAGGCTTTTGCCAGTGCTCAGTCATAGCTCTCAGCTCTGGGAGCAGTTCTGCACCCTTGAAATTCTTTCCCATGCAATTAACAGTAGCTTTTCCATGACAAAAGCTGCTGTCCCCTTTATTGCCGGTGCCATCATGTGTAGTCAGAGGAGGGTTCTTCCAGAGAAATCCATTAACAGGTTCTAACAGACGTTTGTTTTGTAACCTGTAGGATAGCAGAGCTTGATGTAGCTGATGAAAATGACATCAACTGGGATCTGTTAGCAGAGGGATGGAGCAGTGTCCGTTCACCACAATGGCTTCGAAGTAAATGGTGGACTATCAAAAGGCAAATTGCAAATCATAAGGATGTTTCATTCCCTGGTAATGTATTATTTGCTTCTTAAGTCCTTCCCTTGTCTTACCAGATATTTACTCCTCAGAACTTAGAGGTCAGAAATTCTTTGCCTCAGCTAAAGAGATACGAATCTTAGTAGATCTTCACTTAAATATCTCCTCTGTTTCTTTGGGTAACTGTCTTTTCTTCCCTTGAGGAGTTGATGTGATGTGTAATTCTCAAAGCACCTAAGACAAAAATATACATGTTTATACACATTCTTGTTCTCATATCAACTGAAGAAGAAAACGATTTTACATATCGTGTACCAAAATGAATTTCTGAAAACTTAGGTTTAAATCAACTTTTATGTGTTGAATAATTTCACGTATTTTAACCGGGTTTGTCATTTAGAGATTGTCTTTGGTGGTTTTATAGTATAAAGACCATAAATCTGTAATTCATTTATTACATAAATCTAGAGATCTTAAGCTGGGTTTGCTTAAACGTGAGGCATAGAGCCTGCTTTACACCGAGGTGCAAAACTCCGTTGTACGGTCCATGTAATTAAGGCAAATTCATTCCCCTTAGTGTGGTGCTCCAACTTCCATTTTTCTCACAGAAAATTAAATGCTGAAGAACTTTGGCTTGATGAAAATAAGATTTTTTAAAAATTAAGTACATAGTCACAGATTTATAAAGCTAATGTTAAAACCGGAAGAGTGAATGAATACTAATGTGACATGAACCCACCCAGATTGCAGTTATCACCTGAGAGTATTGATAGCTTATCATGAATAGTGGAATGGGGCAAGTCTGGATTTGACTTTCCTGCACAAGAATTCAAGGTGGTTGCATATTACTGTTTGGAAAAAATGAGCTGCTACTCTGGAGTTGTGAGTTAAACTAAAACAGTCAGGTGTCCTTGAGTACTTGGTGTGTGTGGAGGAGAAGTACACTATTCAAGAAAATAAGCTACTTTGCATTAACAATATTCTTCCTAAATAGTAAGAATTTTATCCTGAAGCCCTAGGACATAGCGAAGGTTTTATTTTCATGTTCTTCACAATGGCTATTTTTTTAATGTATCTTAGGTGGCAAGAATAACATGTTAGGAATTTTTTAAATTTCTTGTGATGGATAATGTTTCCAAAAATTTCCAGACGGGTTGTAGCTTTAAAATATTTTTATTGTTATTTTGCTGAGCTCTCACATGCAGTGTACAATTATTTATTCCAAATACTTTCCCTCCTTACCCCCACCTCCCTTGCTGCTTAGATGGTGGTCTGTCGGAGAATCAATGTTCTTTTTGTCTACCCATCTCCCTTCAGTCTTAATAAAAGGTCTTAAACAGTTACATGAGAATCAAAAAAACAACCCAACGCTTTTGGAGAATAAATCAGGATCTGGAGTTCCAAACAGTAATTCCAATTCCAGTGTACAGCATGTTCAGATCAGAGTCGCCCGCTTGGAAGACAGTACAGCCCTCTCTCCAAGCCCCATGACAGCCTTGCAGATTCCAGTCCAGATCACCCATGTCTGTAAGTGTTTATTGGAGACTCCTTGCTATTGGACCTGTATGATTTAGTAATGGCTCTAACACCTTTCATTCTTCTAGAATGTTGGCAGGAATTTGTGCAAGTTGACAGAGGCACTCTAAGGCATTTTACAATTGAGCAAAACAGAGTTCCTAAGGTGGCACATCATTTGTAGCAATTCACCAGAGACACAGATTGGGGGTGGATTTGAAGTCGTGTGTAGAAGAAATGAGTTTGGTGAGATTGAAGAGTTTCTTCAGAAGTAAAGAGCCAGTTTCCTGTGGGAACTCTTTTGTTTATCCTTTTTTTTCCCTTTGCCTCTGATATTTTTTGTGTTTAATGAGATTTTGAGAACTGAACAATTGTTACAGGGAGAGGAAATTATTTCCTGAAATCTAAGCCAAGTTGATAGTTCTTTTTTCCCATGGTAGAGTAACAAAAGGAAGGAGAATAAAATTCTCAGAACCAGATGATTCTTCAGTTTTTTCTCATTTCTTTTGTCTACCTAAATGCTATGCCTATGGAAAGGTCATTACCAAGAGTATACCAGTTGCTGTGTTATTCTCAATCGGGATTATCGGCATTTTGAGTGAGATAATTCATTGTTGGCAGGGCTGTCCTACACATTGCAGGATGCTCAGTGTCCCTTGCAATAGTACTTCCTAATCACTATGGCAAATAAAAACATCTAAGGATTTTCACCTTTTTGAGAATCACTGGGCTATTGGTTGTGGTGACACTATATTTATCCATATATCCAGTGACTATCAAAATTACCTTGGAGACCTTTAAACTAATCATGCCTGTCTTAAAATTCTTAAGTTTGGGTATTTGCTTTAGCTTTCTACCAATGTGATAATGCATGAAGAATTTTTCTTTAGCCCTCTGCTTATTTAACTTTATAGCCTGAAGAATTACAAAGCAACTGAAATTACTGGTCCGCCATAAATATGACAGCTGTTGGTTATAGATTGTGCACAGAGATTGTTAGAACTCTCCTTGGCTATTGTGGTGACTGTACTTACTGGGAATGTAGACATTTTAAGATTTGGTACCTTAATTTTCACAGGATGGCTTTTTTAAAATATGTAGAATAATTGTATTTCTTCCAGCAAGAAATGTTGGTAAGAGTTTTATTTTTTTTTTTTTTTAAGATTTTATTTATTTATTTGAGAGAGAGAGTGAGAGAGAGAGAGCACATGAGAGGGGGGAGGGTCAAAGGGAGAAGCAGACTCCCTGCTGAGCAGGGAGCCCGATGCGGGACTCGATCCCTGGACTCCAGGATCATGGCCTGAGCCGAAGGCAGTCGCTTAACCAACTGAGCCACCCAGGAGCCCAAGAGTTTTATACCATATCAGTTATTCTTTGCATTCAGGCTAAAATCTCATGATTGTTTCTTTCTTTATGTTAGGAGTCAGAGACTAGCAAACTTTAAAGCCAGAATAGTAAATATAAACATGTTAGACTTAGCAGCCCACATAAGTCTTTGTGGAATTTTCTGGTTTTTAAACAGTCCTTTAAAAACGTAAAAGCCATGCTTAGTCTTGAGCCACATTTGTCCCTGCCCATAGTTTGCTTACCCATGAAGAAGGTTATTTATCTGGAATCACTTTAAATTATTCTAGGTATGATCTTAAGATTCCATCAAATAGAGAAATAGTAACATGAATCAGGTGCATTTCTTTTGAAAGGTGTCTCATTTCCTTTCCAACAGAGAAGTATTTTAGTCGGAATAAACGCTACACATTACAAGATGATTCCAAATCCTTTTTCACATGGATTTAACTAGAGGTGCAATTGAAAGCACCAAGAGATCCACATTTCATCTAGTCTTAATTCCTTATAACCTTGATCAGGTGTAACCAACACTGCTCAAATCTAAAGCCTCAACTGACACACCTATAAAGAGATTATATACTGTGTGATCTCTAAAGCACTGTTCAGTCTCCCAAATGTGTTCTTCTGGGCTGGGCGGAGCAAGATGGCGGAGGAGTAGGAGACCTAGATTTCATCTGGTCGCAGGAATTCAGCTGGATAGGGATCAGACCATTCTGAACACCTACGAACCCCAAATGTGTTCTGAAATAACTTTTTTTTTTTTTTTTTAGAGATTTAAGAGAGAAAGAGCACAAACTCGGGGTGGGGGGCAGTTGCGCAGAGGGCAGACTCCCCACTGAGCAGGGAACCCGACATGGGGCTCGATCCCAGAACCCTGGGATCATGGCCTGAGCTGAAGGCAGACGCTTAACTGACTGAGCCACCCAGGCACCCCTGAAATACTACTATCTTATATTTCATGTTTGTGGTTCCTCCCAACAACTACATGAGGTAGGCAGGACACATAGTCTCTGAACATGAGTAGGTTCAAAGCAAGCTATTTGCTCGGGAGTGCTGCTGCTGGAACAGAAGCCTGGTTTTGGGGGACTAACGTTCCAGGAATCCATACTGCTTATCAGATTGTCCAGGAAAATTTATTTTTTACCAGGTTCCTGTTGACTTGTTAGTCTTAGGGTATTCCTCTTACTTCTAGAACTATTTTGTGATCTCTACCAAGGCTTAGCAGATACTGTCTCTGTAACAGTCAGCTCTGCCCTTAAAGTACAGAAGCAACTGTGGAGAATAAATAGGTGTGGCCGTGTTCCTATAAATACTTTTTACAAACACTGGTAGTGGGCCGGATTTGGATATGAGCCACAGTTTGCTAACCACTAACCTGTGCCATCCCAGGTAAATCTGTTAGATTCCTTCTCGTAAGAAATTTAAATGACTTCAGGTTTCCAGGCAAATTACTCACTATGAGACTACGTGTTTTATTTTGTTGTCCTTGTTCCTACCACAGCTTCAACAGAGTCCCCTGCTGCTACTGTTGACTCGGAAACAATAACACTAAACAGTGGAACACTACAGGCATTTGAGATTCTTCCAGTGAGTAACACTTCACAAAACAGAACTTGGCATTTTATGCATAAGAAAAATCACTGGTTTTAGCACTGTTACCATATAAACAAATGAAATAAAAACATGATTGGCATTCAGTGCAGCTCTGTCCATGTTTTTGAGGCCAGATCGTTAAACGAGGACATAAATCAGACTTCCACTTTTTCTTCATCTGTAGAGGTTTAAACCAATAACGTGCTCTTTTTACATATGAACGTGACAGGGCTTAATGAGGAGGGTGCATGCTATGGGTTTGTATTGAGTCATAAACAAATGCTATCCATAACCAAAAAGTTCATTGCACTGGCCCTTGGGGATACAGAATTTAAAAGTCCCAGTCCTAAATGGTGTAGCCACTTTACGGAAGAACCTTGCAGTTCTCCTAAAGGTGAAACGGTATAGTTAACATCTGAGCCATCAATTCTGAATAATTATCATTCATTCAGCAGTAAAAAAGAACAAAGTACTAATACATGCTCCAAGGGTGAACCTTGAAAATGTTATGCTAAGTGAAACTAGCCACAAAATACCATAGAGTGTTTGATTCCCGTTTATTTGAAGGGTCTAAAATAGGCAACTCTGTAGAGACAAAAAGATTAATGGTTGCCTATGCTAAGAGGTTTTGGGGGAGCTAAGGACCAAGATGGCTAATTTGAATGGGGTTTCTTTTGGCTGAAGTAGGGTAACTTTTTAAGTCTCCATTCTTACCCTGTTTTCTAAAATGGATAATACCCAGAATTAGCTCATTTTTCAGGAAGAAAATATAAAGTAGGTTTTATTTAAATTCTGTCAAGTTTTATTTGCTGTGAAAAACATAGGGCTATTAGGGCAAAAGTTTATCCTCTGCACAAATCTCATGAGGATAGTCGACATGGCTAAAGGTTCTCTTTTAGAACAACTTTGGAACCTCTACTAGCAATTTATTTAACCTAAGCTTCCACTTCCTAATCCTGTGGTCTCGAAAATAGGGATGTGTAATATAACCCTTTGTCACAGGTTGAAAACTTTTTTTTTTGGCCACCTCCTCTCTGCCCCCTGGCCAAATAACATACATACATATATTTAGAGTATGTGTTCAGGTTTTTACTTATTTGGGTCACAGATTATTTAGACTTCTGTCCTAATTTATTAATAAAAGATGATATTGCCTCAGCTTCAAAAAATCATGAACATTACAGGAACTTAAATAAAATGCATATATTTAATACATGAAGTATTTATTGTCTGACCACATCTAATTTACTAATTATAAATTGTAAATGATCAGCTTTTACTTCTATGGAGGGAGGAAAGAAATCGAGTCCTACTTGAGTCCTACTGTGTGCCAGACACCATTTTGTAATAATCTGTAATGCCCACAACCCCTTCCCTGAGGTAGTTATTATGCCTGCTTTAGCAATAAGGAAACTTACTTTCATTGAGCTAGTACCAAGAGAGCTATTATAACTTCAGTACACAAGACCACAGGCTCTAGGACTTCAACATCACCGTCTAAGTGTAAATACTTTCCCTGTGGGAGAAAAGGATAAACCAAACTCAAATTATCAAGCATAGAAGTTGAATAGTTTCGGGACAGTTCTGTGAAACCTATCAAGATAAACTTACTATCAGTTAACCAGCTTTTCAAAGTTACTCTTTTTCATTCAGAACACTAATCACTCTCTGTACATTTCGCCTTAGTATAAAAAATAGTTCCTAAAATTATACTATGGAAAAAATCTGTTCAAGTAAACTCTGTAGTACCTTTTCAAAAATGTGAAACTTTTAAAAAGTGGGGAGAGTGCCAATTCTTTACATGCTAGACAGACAGTGAAGGAAGACTGTGTGCGGGTTACTGCACTGGACACAGTGGCTTATGCTACCGTGTCTTGGTGCCTTGAAATAAATGGCTAAGACCAGACCATAGAAATACATGGGAGTGAAGAGCAGGATCAAGGTTCTCTGTTAAACCTCCAAGACAAGTGTAAGGACGTAGGACAAGTCAGTATTATACCCTTCATTTTGTTACTTGAGGGCACCTTCAGGATTGGGAAGTACATTTGTGGCTAGTAAATTAAAGACTCCATTTCAGATATAAAGCTAGACTTAAGTAAGCTTATTTACTCAGTCTGTTGCACCTATGTTGATCTTAATTTTTTTGCTTCAGTCTTTCCATTTACAGCCCACTGGCACTCCAGGCACCTACCTGCTTCAGACAAGCTCAAGCCAAGGCCTTCCCCTCACTCTGACGGCTAGTCCCACAGTAACCCTGACGGCTGCCGCACCTGCTTCTCCTGAACAGATCATTGTTCACGCTTTATCCGTATGTTCCATCAGTTCCTTGATTTTTCTAGTTTCTGTAGAGAAGACTGGCTGATAAGTGTCACCAGAAGCTTTTTGTTTTTAATACTATGAGAGAACCCATGTGCCTTCAATAATAACAGTAGGTCTAGGGGAGAAATGGATTATGTAATCTAAGTATTGGAGTACCTGTCAGGGACCAGGATTAAATGATACTAAGTTTAAGAGCTAGAACTAATAGAGTCCACTTATTTAAACAATTTTTCCTACTGCTGTTGTCTTAGGAGCATAGTTTTACACCATTACTCTGCCTTTACTGGGGTATAACCCTTGCCCCTGTGTGTCTCCTTACAGGAGATGGAATGATGGGGGGGGCGGTCCTAGACCACTGCAGTTCCAGAGGTGAGAGGGCAGGGGTGGGGACAGGCAGGTGCCACCTGTAAATGGTAGTTGTCGCCTATAACTGAAGTCTGGTTGGGACTTTCTCATTTTGCCACTGATCATTTTCTTTGACATTTTATAGCCAGAACATTTGTTAAACACAAGTGACAACGTCACGGTGCAGTGTCACACACCACGAGTCATCATTCAGACTGTTGCCACAGAAGACATCACTTCTTCCATATCCCAAGCAGAACTGACAGTAGATAGTGATATTCACTCATCTGATTTTCCTGAGCCTCCAGATGCCCTAGAAGCAGACACTTTCCCAGATGAAATTCATCAGCCTAAGATTACTGTAGAGCCATCATTTAATGATGCTCATGTATCCAAATTCAGTGACCAAAATAGCACAGAACTGATGAATAGTGTTATGGTCAGAGCGGAAGGAATCTCTGACACCGACCTTAAACAAGAGGAGTCATCTTCTCCTTTAGCCCGTGCTTATGTTACTGAGGTAAGTTGCAATTAAGGAAACAGCCTCTGGGTTCTTGCCTTGAGCCTTAAACCTTCATTTTGGAAAAAGCCTAGCAATAATTTATGGGGGGGAGGGGGTCCTCCACCAACTTCCCTTTTTCTCGGGACACAAAATCAAATGCAAACTGTACCTGCGACCTCACAAGATGAGACAGCAGTGTGTTGCTCAGCCTTAGCACCGAAACCTTTCCCCCTGTACCCTTCCAATAGATTGAGATTTGTTTGTTGGGACCTATGGAACCATTTTCAGGAGAGTGGTTAGTAGTAGGTCTTTGTGGTACAGCTTAGCAACCTTACTTACCCCAGTGTAACAGCGCTGTTTCTTCTACGTTCAGGGGACCTAGAACTGAATTCCTTTTAAGTTCTGTTTTGTCCATTTTTAGGCTCTAATTTTCTTTTCTTTATAAAATGGGATAATGTTTGACTATAAAGTCCTTTTAAACCTAAACGTGTTTGGGAGCTTAAGGAAAACTAAGAAATAGGAGTCAGAATGCCTTTTTTTTTTTTTTTTTTTAATTGCTACTGTTTAGGATCTAGAGTCTCCTACCATAGAAGAACAAGTTGATCAAACAGCCATTGATGATGAAACCATACTTATCGTTCCTTCACCACATGGCTTTATCCAGGCATCTGATGTTATAGATACTGAATCTGTCTTGCCTTTGACAACACTAACAGGTACTGTGATACAACTCCATCATGTGCCTGATAAATCTTAAGGGGGAACATCAGGCTACTTGATCCAACAGTAGTCATCTTGTTAAGATTTTGCACTTTGGTCGAGTACTTACTATACCTTCTTGACATGGATTAGAGTACATACATGTAAACTTACTTAACACTTAACTCATTACAGATCCCATACTCCAACATCATCGAGAAGAATCAAATATCATTGGATCATCTTTGGGCAGTCCTGTTTCAGAAGACTCAAAGGATGTTGAGGATTTGGTCAACTGTCATTAGGTAATTCTTAAGAGACAGGTAGCTTAGGCAGAGAAGCCACACTGTTAATTACAACATCTCCAAAGAAATAGGAGCAACTCCCAAGAGGCTTAATTCACCATTCCTTTGGCTTTTAAATAACTACAGTGCTTAAGCCACATACATGTTGCTGCTATGACTATTTACCGCCTTTAAATATACCATCTGAGGTCAGTCTTAGGACAGTGTGTAGATGAACTGAGTATGGAGGTCTTAACTGCGTAGATCCCTGTGATTGGTGTTAATTGTCAGCAGGGAATTTCATTCACTTTCAGCTACTGAGAAAAGTTTACAATCACCAAAGCTTATCTACTTCGTTTTACAAAGCAGTCATACTCATCTCTAAAGATCGGACATGGCTCTATCCAGTCTCAAGTAGGCCTGTTCGTATTTCGGAGACATCCCATCAACATGGTGTAGAGCTTATCAGTGACGCTCAGAAATGTCACGTACCCTTAGTTTGAAAGGTGCCCAGCATCCCATACAGAGACCTAGGAGGGCACTGTGTGGCCATGACTGTTGGTTTACCCATTGCTGGCAGTGGGAGCTGATTCAGGCTGGGTACACAAAGAAGCATTATAAGAATTAAGAACATTCACTACAGGTTTTTTATTACTTATAAAGGGAATATGGAAGAGAATAGCAACACAGCTCACCAGAAGCTAGAGTCTTCACCCCTTCAGAACCCACTGTTGTCAGTTTACAAAGTTAGCACTTTGAAGTAAAATTAAATGGGAAGGAAGTACGGTTGCCTACCCTATACTCCGACTCACATGTTTTGCTATACAAATTACCCAGGAAATCGTTGAGGAAGGTATGAGTCTGCCCTTCACTTTAGTGCATCAGCTGGTGGGGTGTGACATAACTTCTCCCTCTCAGGCAATTTAAAAAAACAAAATTTGCTTCTGTTATAAAAGGAAAGAAATCAAGAGTCATTCATGTATTTACAGAGAAGGTGAAGCCAAAATTAGCCTCTAGGGCTTTAATGAACATGACCCCTATAAAAAAGTCACAAAAAAAAAAAAAAACCTTGTATAAATTATTTTATTTATTATTGTAATTAGATCTTCACAATCAAAGTTGTCTTTTCACCGTCTGTGTTTTGTTAATGTGAAATTGTAGTTATAAGCAAAAGTTGGTTGCCTAGGGAACAATAATTGTATATTCAGTTTAACAGAAATAAAAGAATATTTGTCTTAAAATGCAAGATTGTTACATAGCCTTTCGCCATGCACTTACATTATAAAAAGTCTCATTTCAAAAGTGAAAACTGCTTTAAGGGTTGGAATGTTTAGGTGCAACACCACCTCCTTAAAGAAAAAGCAAAGCAATCTAGGCTATGTCTCCCCTGCAAGAGGGAATTCTAGATTTACAATTAACATGAAAATCATGTGTCAGACTTGTGCAGGAGATTCTTCAGCATAGCTTACCCGGCTCTGACTCAACAGTCCTAATGTATAGCTTTGAAGAGACCTGGTAAGTATTTCTCCTTGGCAGCCTCACCTCCCCACGTCATGGAAGTACAGGTTCGCACATATACATAACATGATGATAGAAAATAAGATATAGTAAATTAGGTTTCTAAATTTCGGTTCTAAGTCTCCTTGTCGATACCAGTAGATCTAAAAGAAGAAGAATTAAATAAGAGTTTTAAGTAATAGCCACTAGGCCTGGCATGAAAATTTTTCAATACAACTGATTCTTTTTCAACTGTGACCAATTTCATCCATATATACTTTCCCCCACTGAGACAGTCTTTACGTTAGTATACATTTCTGAAACCAATGTGGCCAGAATGTAATTTTTCTCTTTATAATTCTAGTAATACCAAATTTCCACATCCAGGATCATACTTTTTCCTGCTTTCTCAGCTACCTTTTTTCTGTTCAAACCAGTAGTCATCCAATCACTGACAAGCCATCCAAGAATGTATACCTTGTAGGGTGGTTTTAAATGTATTTGAGTAAAAAGGTACAGGTCTCTTAGGTACTGGAAGGGATGACAACTTTTAAATTCTTACTAACTACAGAGTCAGGTTGCCAATACATTGTAAGTTTTTATACAAAACTAGGTCATGTTAGTCACTCCTGGCTTTAGGCTGGGAGTGCGAAGAGCCATCTCTGGTAGTTTTGTTCCAAAGACTCCAGAAGTAGATGGGCTAACTCTTCCTCAGAGCAAAGGAGTAGAGCGGAATAAATTAATGAGATAAGCACATTACAGTGGTGATTTAAGCCCTGTGTGAGTCAAAACTACTGCTTTTAAGGGTTTATAGTTTTGGTTCTATCTCTCCTCAAGGGAAATAAAACAACAGCCAAGTAATTAATGACCAAACAACTGGCAAATATCTAAGTGAGGATCTATCACCGTCTTTGTTTATGTAAAGGAAAAGCATCTTTATGGTAAATAGTTGTACATTCTTGTGACAAGGATATAGCTGTAGCTTAAGATTTCCCAAGAGGTTCTTGGTGTTAATTACTTTCATTTGGGGAGATAAGCACAGAGATTAAAATAGACTAATTCTGTAATTAGAAGTAAATCCAGAATGCTGTATCTCTTCCCTTTAGAGCAGTAATGGCATTTGCCAAATCCTGCTGGGCCTGTAGGCAGTCCTTGAAGGAAGATGTATTAGGTAAATTAAACTAAAGCTTTGGCCACCCAAGTCTTAACTCTTTTTCCCCCTCCCCACTTTTTTTTTTTTTTTAAAGCTTTCAAAGGTTCCTTTTAGAATTAACAACTCCTGATTCCAGAAACAAAAAATCTGCCAATTAATATTCAGACTTCTGACATCCTTTGCATCGAGGTGGGGACGGGTAACTAGACATACCCTTTCTTACAGACCCAAGGCTGGGAATCTGTCCTACGTATACACTGCAACCTTCAGCCCTCCAGGATACTCAATTTAAATTCTAAATCGTACTCACAAGTATGCAGGCAGTAATACTACTCAAAGAGATGCAGACAGCAAAAAATATATTCAAAGGTTTTGGAGGTAGTTGAGGGAAAACAAAAGCACTGATCAGCGTTACCTGTATGAAAAGAAATTGTGTCAGGCCTTGGTTAGACTGGAGTTTAAGCAATGTCCTATTATAAAACACTTCACATTGTAAAATAGTATCTACCACCAGGTTTGCCTTCTGGAATGTTAGTATTTGTAAATCTGTTCCAGTATGTTACTTCTTTTAGTACTTCCTTTTCCTATCCTTTTCCTCCACTATGAAAGGAGACAAAACATCATAGCTCATAAAACTAGCTAAGCTCAAAATAACCCCTTGACAAAAAGAAAGCATTTAAACCTCATTCCCAGGATTAAGGATTACACTGGGAAAAGTTCTAACCTTTGTTACGTTATTTTGCATACACCAACAAAAATTAAAACCAAAACGGTTTTTGAACATTTTGGGAAATACTGAGATAGGTTCCTAATACATTGGAGTTCTGTTTCTATCACAAATAAAGCATTATACTCATTCTTTTTATTAAGAGGTCAATGAAACTTCACTAAAATTCTCTTTGATTTAATGAAATGTGATATAAAAATGCCCTTTTTAGACTATGGGAACTATAGCTATATTTTACGGCAGAAGTACCAAGCTACATTATACAGGATAAAGAATAAGGACCAAATAATCTTTTTAAAGGATAACGAGTGTGCTTTTAGGAGCAAAATAAACTTAAGGGATTAGCAGGAAAGGGGAGTTGTGGGTCGTATACAGAGGGGAATTGCTGGTGCCACTGACGAGTTACAAATTTACTAAACACAGAAACATGGCAGACTCAGAAATAACTACTTACTTGACGTGGGCTATTTCATATACTCAACTGGGGGGTATTCCTGTTGTCAGCTGCAGTTCAAGCGGTAATAAAACTGAATACTAGACTATGACTAACTAGAATACTCCACAGATTCATGTACTGGCCTCTTGTATTTTTTCTGAATGTTAAACTGAACCACAATACTGAGGCTTTCAAAAAAACTTTGGCGAAGAGCCTGGGTAAGACACAAAATAAACATACTTACTAGAATCAATAAGGATGTTAAGCTGCCAACAACTAAATTGATGATTCGATCCTGAAAGAGAAAAGAGTTCTTGAGCTCTATGATAGGTCCACGTCACTTTCAGAAAGGTACAATTCTAGCCACTGCGGTGATGGCGAATTAAGAAATGAAGGTCCTGCCCCTCTCTGAGCTTTACACACACATACGTAAGTGCCAGAAAGGCCAACTGTACTGAGCCACCAGGGTGGAGAAGGTATTTTGGGAAGACACGGACCACTAATGAGAAAAGGTTTTCTGAAAGGACACGATGCTTTTACACTATAGTCTTTTGAAGACTGGGAGGGACTGAATGGGGAAAGGATGCTTATAAATATTCCCTGTGCTGCTGGGAACAGTTTGAACAGAAGCAAAGGGACAAGGGCACTCGCATGGCCAGCCAGCCCAGGGCCTTGGTGACAAATATCAGGAACCAGACCGTAGAGGACTTTGAGTGCCATGAGTTTGGGCCTGCTTGTGTTACAGCTTAGGTGTCCTTGCCTAACGTAATTTAGAAGTAGAGGCTACTGCTGGAAGGGATCACACAATGTCAGGGCTGGAGGCAATCTCACACCATCTAGGCCAGTGCTTTTTCAACTTAATAGCAAAAGCCTTTAGTAACAAAATAATCATGTGATTGAATGCCGAGCCTGGGGTCCTACCCACCGCTGAGCCTTCTTGTCATTCCCATCCCCACTCCAACCAATTCCACAGAAAGGTTTGGAAAACGTCTCATCTAATTCAATCCTTTTATTATAGATTAAGATAAATTTAGGTCCAGTGAGTATGGTTAAATTATTTGTCTAAAGCCCTACAGCAAGTGTGAAGCAACTTTTTAACAGGACTCCCAAATCAAGGTCACTGGTTAGATAAAGCTTCAGCTATAGGGACTCAAGTATTTTACATATATAAAACTAATATAATGTTAGTAATACGTAATACACGTGTAATATGTAGATTTGGTTGAGCTTACAGAACAGGGTAATGATTAACAAACACTAAAGGCCACTGAGAATACCAAGTAGTCTTATTACTGAGAAGTCAAAACAAATCCGTAGTCTTAAAGATTTTCGGTAGCATCTGAGCAGGAACAGCAGGCTATGGAACATGAGTAGGCAATAAACAAACGCTCACAGATCGAAGGGCACAGGAAGGAACAAGCAGAGCAGCAACTGAACACCCACTTCCAAGGTGTCTACATTTAAAGCTGAGATAAGAGGCAAGCCAAGCTGAGAGGAACAGTGAAGGAAAGCCAAGTATTAAATTGGGTGTGTTTGACCTAACCAAGGACAAACCCCTCTCTCCAGACCAAGGCCACTGCAATTCACATGTTATAGAGGACAAAGGTGACAACTCCAGCCACACCCTTACTAACCTAGAAGGACTCAGAACCAATCTTTTCACCACCTTAGCTACAGAAGCCTGCCCGGCAACACCCAGAGTCTGAAATTACAACCATTTGTGGGCAAAGAGACCCAGGGGCAAATCACCGATCACTGGTCACTGGTGTCCACACACAAAACAAATGTGTGTCTCAACCTAAGTTGCACAGTCTCTTAATGGGAGTCCCACTGTTTTTACCTTGTGAAAAAAGTTTAACTTAGAGTATCTGCTCTCGTCTCTTTAAGAGTTCCGGGGATTTGCAGAAGTTTACGAAGGTCTGCATACCTCACAACAGCTCTCTTACCCATAGAAAGAAGACAGTGAAGAGGTTCAGGTGAGGGAGCCAAGCAGAATCACTTATCTCCAAACAGCACAGCCAGATGCCAACTAGGATCAGAGCAGGAGAAAAAGTAATCATAGTGAAGGGATAGTAACTATGCCAAGAGCTTTTGCGTATCTTCTAAAAAATAAAAATAAAAAATTCTGAGATGAAATGATATCAGGACTATTTTACAGGTGGCAAAACAGGCTCTGGGAAAGACAATTTGCCCAAGGTCTCACTCAGCGATGGAGACAGGATTCAATGCCGAAAGAGCAGATCCCACTTAACTTCTCACTGGAAGAGCAGCTTGGAATGTTACTTCTGGTCTAGACAAAGACATCAAGTGGCAGGTGGCCCCTCAAAAAGCCCATTAGCAAAGAACTACAGTAGAGTGTCTTTCAGGAATGAAGAGTTCCTCAAATGACTTTTTCATGTTGTCAAAATTACATAAGCCTAACTGGCTTTA